AAAGTTCCGCTAACTATTGAAACAGATGCCTCTTACACAGAACTGGGAGGAACGTTACTCGATGGCGTTTAGAATTAGCAGATATTAATTATACAATTTCATACAGACCAGGACCAATCAAAATATCGTAGCCGATGCCCTTTCTCGATGTTGCTCAATTTAAAACACCAATAAAACCTTTTACAATATTCATTCCCAACTATGTCATCCTGGAATTAAAAAAATGATATGTTATTGCAAAACCCGAAATCTACCTTACTTTATCACTGAAATTAAACAACTAACAAGCCAATGTACAACCTGTAACGAACTCAAACCGCGCTTCTACAAACCTCCAGCTGGTCGTCTTATTCAGGCTACGAGACCTTGGAACAATCCACCTCGTGGTAATAGACGAATACTCTCGCTACCCATTTGCATTCCCTTGTAAGGATGTAACAGCCGACACTGTGATACAACACCTTCTCAGTCTTTTTTCATTATTTGGTGCACCATCATCTATGCATACAGATCGAGGAAAACAGTTTAAAAGTATATCACTTAAGGTTTTCCTATAAAGAAACGGTGTCATCCAAACTCGAACTACTCCATATCACCCACAAGGCAACGGTCAATGTGAAAGAATAAATGGAACAGTACTTAAAGCTGTTAGTCTGGCCCTGAAAACATTGAGTCTGGGAAAAGATAGATGGGAGGTAGCATTGCAAATGGCTCTATCCTCTATGAGAGGACTTCTGTGTACTGCTACGAACGAAACACCTCATCAGAGGATGATGAACTTTCAGCGTTCATCAATAATAGGTACAGTTTTACCATACTTCTTAACAGAGCAGGATTTGACAATTTTATACAGACGTCAGATACGATTAAAGGGAGATCCACTTGTCGACAGAGTTCAACTATTAGAAACAATATCGCCTCATTTCGCACGCGTAAAACTTCAAAATCGAAAAATTGATACAGTTTCAACAAAAGATCTTGCCCCACTACAAGATGGAAATCCTTTAATAGAACTAGTCCAACAACAGTCCGAATGCTCGAACAATGACGAAATTGTCATTAGTAACAACAACCACATTTCTGGAAATAGAAAACAAGTTGAATTAAATGATACCAACGAAGTAGTTTCGAACCTTCTGCATCCGTTTGGGAATCCAATAAAGGATAGCTTCTATTATGATCAATCAACTACACCAGTGGCTAACCAACCATCTATTCAAAAGGTTATTACTCCTGACACACAACCTAATATAATCTCACTGACAGGACGTATTATTAAAAGGCCAAAATATCTCGACGACTACTTTCTTTCTTAGAGTATTATCCAGTACTAAGACTTTCTTAAAACGGAGAAGTTTTAAGACTAAGACTTTCTTAAAACGGAGAAATTTTTAAGAACTATGTATTTGAACTAAATAATTGACGTCAATCACGTCATTATAAAATACGGTTAAATGAACTTAAGTTATTCTAATTATATTTAATTGATGTGTTATAAAATCTGTTTTGTAGATCTTGAATTGTGTTTGATTTAATATTTGATAAAAGCCGAAAATATTTAATATAGACTTTTTTATTACGGTTTCACAACAGTCTCAATGGTAGATTCATTGCTGTATACAACATGACTATGGCAATAAATATTGATGTTTTAAATATTTCAAATATTATTAAAATGAATTGGGATAAGTTATTAATGCAAAAACATTTTCTAAAAAGTTGTAATATTAAAATAATAATTGCTTATGTTTCAGGAGAAAACTAATGGAAAGTTTACCTTGCTCTAGTCATCTTGAGAAAAAGAGGTTTCTTAGCCCATGACGTTTTTTAATCATTGCAGGCTTACGTTACGGCTTCTTCAGTGGCTTTCTGCACTTATAGCCAATCTCATAACTACTCCCTTTTTAAGATTCAAATGAACTTTTTTATTCCTTGGTCTTTTAAAACAATTTTCAGTTTTATTGATAGTATCTTACAATTTTGTTCAATAACTTTTTTCTTATTTCTGTGATCTATAGCACTTGTAACTTTTTTTCTGCCACAGGACTCTGTTTTCTGCGTTTCTAATTAGACCCCATTTTAAGTTTAGAACTTGTTCCTCTGACTGTAACCATGATAATTTTGACAGCTTTGGCAATATTTCTTTGGATGTAACTTGCAGAAAGTTACTTTTGCATATTTACTAGAGGAAACATCACTAGATTTACCCAATATTAATTATAAAATAACTCCAACATTAATTAAGTTATGCATAATAAAAAAAAAACAACTTAAAAACAACTTAAATTTTTTTATTTAAATTGTAAAGACAGACTGAAATAATGTAGGTCCCTAAAGAAGACATATTAATTGAGTTATGACAGACAAAATTAATTCCAATTCAACAAAGTTAAGTTTCTTTGAAACAAGCAGTGTAAAGTTTTAAACTTTACTATATGATTTTTTTTGAAAATATTTATAACTTTGTGCAGGTATTAAGAGAAAATGTTTAACCATCCTTTTGTGTGTAACCGTCCCACTATGCAATGTGGCGCTTATAGGGCGTAAGCCGGCGTTGAACCTCGGACCTCTTGATTCTGACTCTAACCACTACGCCAAGCCTGCACAAATTTGTGGTGAGTTAATTAATTTTGTATAACAAGTTTTTTATAAAATATCCAGATTCACTGTAGAAATACGATGTACTTCTTTAATATATTTCTATAATTATAATTCATAGATTCATAAGGAAGACTAAGTCTTGGGCTCTTCCTAATTTAAAAAAAAAGGAAATATTAAAAACACGATTAGAAAGACTTAATTTATTTTAAATTTATATTTATATAATATATATCTAAATTTATTATTTAACTAGTGAGTTCAATTATTTGGATCTTTTATATTTCTTAATAATTTCTAAATGAAAAGAAGTAAGGAAGGAAGCAATTCTAAAAAGCTACAAAGTTAACCTTTAAAGTTTTTAGACAACTGGATGAACGAAGAGAAATTAAAAGTATAGAACAATAACAAGAATATTAAAATAGATGTTATTAAAAAGCAGTTTTATTGCAAAGCATGTACCCAATCTCGAAAAAACCATAGGGTAATTTAGAGAGGTATTATAATACAGCCATTCGTAAAAGTTGTGAAGGAAATCCTCACTTGTTAACTGTAAAATGCTCTGCCGTAGTATTCTAAGTTCTTCCAAAAGCTGCTTGAAGCTTCTAAAGGATCTCAAAAATTTAGCATGCGGGTGTACAATGTTGCCCACAGCCCTAGCAGGAGGGTAGAATTTTAGGATTTACAAGAATACACAAAACGTTCAAAACATTTCAAGGCCAAACAAAATGGCTTATTATGCAAAAAGCACCGTAGAATTCGGGAACAGTTAAATGCACTTATTTTATATTTTAAAAAGAAAGGTAAAAAAATTTTTTTTTTTCAAAAGCAACGAATGATTTGGCTTTTCTTCTTTTGTCCGATCCACTGACTAAGCCGTACTTAGAATTTATGGAGTACATTTTAAGTATACTGACGGACTTCAACACAATATTTCAATCAGAAATTCCGTTACTTCACGAGCTTCAAAAGTCTTTCAATCAACCTTTAAAAAATTTGGCAAGTATCCTCATGAATAATGATTATCTCAGAAACCAAAATAATGAAACAACAATTAATCCACGTCTTACGTCAAAATATTTACAGGAGGATACAATTAGGTAAGTTGATTTTCCAAGATTCAAAAAAACTAAAAGTAAAGATTCAATTGTTTCTTTATTTTTATAAGGACCTGATACATTCTACACTATTGATGAAGACCTGCAGTACTTGACAGTGATGTCATTGAAAAAAGAGTATCCATACATAAATCAGATTGTCCCTCCACCGCGATTGAATAGTAATTTGAAACTAGCGGTCATGGAGCCTATTCAAATGATGTAGCTTGCCAGACTTAATCTCAATTTTGCAAAGACAAGATGTTCAATACCACTCCGTTGTAGATTTTGTGAATGAATTCCTGGCATCTTTGTCTTATAAAGAAAACAGTTCGTCTACTCAACCTATTGTAGCTGGTCCATCTGCGCCTGCTCCTGTATTCTCTCAATATGACCATTTAGATAAGTATTTCGAAAATTGATTTCATAAGTTGATTGAAATATGATTGCCGTCATCAAGGACTCGAGAAAAAAGATTCTCTTTTGAGGATCACATTTTCAGCATTTGCGAAATATTTGAATTTATCTACGTTCGGACTAGTCAAAACTTTCTGCTATTCTAAGACTTTTTACAAATTTTAAAACGCAGTGAACTTTAGCTAAGCTGCAGTGCGAGTGAAGAGATCTAAGTTAAGGCAATGACGACTGAGTTTTTTTCGAACAAAGTCATTTCCATCAAGACAGTTTTGATATTCCAAGGTTACCTAAATTACGGATGTGCATTGATCTTCTATTTTCTCTGTAAGTGAAGCTATAGCTGTAAGATAGTATATAAACTCATAAAGACTGAAAAAGGAAATCAGTTAGCTGATACAACAGTTTCCAATCTATTGAGAGTGAAGCATTGAACAAAGAAAAAAAATTACACTGCACACGGCTTTGAGTTGCCCGAGAACCTTTTGAAAAGTGTTTTCACTCAAAAAAGTCAAATCAAATGTTTTAGTAGGGTATACTACTAAATAATTTTTACGTAGTTATAAAAGATTACTTTTTGTCTGAATTTTTACCTCGGAAATAATATTTTGAGTTCAGTGTTATTTTATATTTAATATGCATATTTTATTTTGACCGAAAAAAAAGTAAGATTTTTTGATTGATTTAAGGTAAAAACGCACGACAAGACAAAATAGAAGGTTTTTATTTTATTCTTTGTAAGATATTTTGTCAGATTTCAAGAATGTTATAATATATTTTTAGAATTTTATATTAATTAGGTTAAATTAAAAGTAAACTTCGCGATTTCCATTTCTTTAGCGTGGAAGCACTGTCTATAATAAAGAAAACCATAAATTAACCAGGCAGTTATAACACATTGTCAGTTTTACTCCTAAAAAAAGAGAGTAAAAGTTTTAGTTTTAAAAATATATATTGATTTAACGTATATCACGGATATTTCAGCCATAAAAAATTCTAACATTGGTATTTCTTGATTGGCTATCACTAAACTGAACCGGAATTATCGTAGAGCGACTTCGCTAAACATGCAAACTTGCATCAAGTTGAAACCGAAATTTATATTATAATATTAGCTAACTTTTCCAACATTAGCAGTGTGGGCACTTTGAACTACGGCGTTAAACAGATCGGACACTAAAAATCGAGGATAGCTCTGTCGAAACATGAGTAAACTGACCTAAAAATGATAAACACAAATAATCGTGGTGTTAAGAAATAAAAAAAAAAAAAAAAGGGAAGAAAAAATACCTGATTTTGTGCAACATCAAATACTGTATCAGAAGGATTATCCGACAATTCGTCTTCTATCTTTTTACGAATAGTCGAAGATAAGTTTATCTAAAACCATTAAAGTGCTCGAGTCATTCATAAAAAACAACAGTTCAAAAAAATTGTACTGTAAATTAAATTTCATAATATGAATATATATAATATATATGTATATATATTTATATAAAACTTTTAATATACATATATAAAATATATATGAATATATATTTATTTAAAATATATAATATAAATGTATACACTTATATAAAATATATAATATAAATATACAAAATATATAATATATGTATACATATTTATATAAAATATATAATATATATATATATATATATATATATATATATATATATATATATATATATATATATATATATATATATATATATATATATATATATATATATATATATATATATATATATATATATATATATATATATATATATATACACACAGAACCGTAACCACAATTTTCATATTAGGGGGGGCCCATATTACATATTAAAGACTTTTTTTTTTTTTTTAAAGGTACCCAAGAGATAAAATATTTGTTAAAAATATGTTTTCCCTAACAATTATATTTTAATAATTTTTGGGGGGAGCCTAAGCCCACTGGTCCCCCCGGTGGTTATATATATATATATATATATATATATATATATATATATATATATATATATATATATATATATATATATATATATATATATATATATATATATATATATATATATATATATATATATATATATATATATATATATATATATATATATACATACATATATATATATATATATATATATATATATATATATATATATATATATATATATATATATATATATATATATATATATATATATATATATATATATATATAACTTAAAGTTTTAAGAATACATTTAATGATAACAAATAAAATTAAACATTTTATATATTTAAATTTTAAACAATATCTCTTTGATTAAGCCGGTTGATAAAATTGAAATACTAACTTTTTGAAATGCAACAAGCGAACCGACAACAAAATAAGCAAAAACAAAACAATAAAAGCATGCAAACAGAAAAGAACGTATTGAAAGTTGTGAAATAAAATGTTGTGAAATAAAATGTTGCGAAATAAAAAATTGCAAAATATAGCAGGGCGTTTCAAGCAAAAGGATTATAATTTCTATAAAACGTTTTTACAAATTTTTTAAAATTTTCATAATTTAGAAATACAAATAATACTTTAAAAATAATTAACACAATTATGTGTTAATCATATAATTGGATTTATAAATTAGTCGAATAATTAATCTCCACAATTTTTATTATTTTCTTAATAATAATAAAATAATTAATAATTGAAATACAACAAATAACCAATAGTTAAAGTTCAATTTAATTGTTAAACTAACAACCGGTTGTAAAACCGCAACGTTAAAAATCTCCTGATATTAAAAATTTTATCTCAACTTTAAATTTATAAATAAATTAATAACAAACCTCGCGTTCTGCAAGTGGACGCACAAATTCAAAATATATATGCATCATTCGCGCTTTTTTGTCTTGTGGTTTTATAAGTGTTTTTAATCGATCTACCTCGATCCAAAACTGCAAATTTTCGTCGCTATGTTCTTGTCTTAAGAACATCTCAAATAGAAGACGTCCATCTTTTCATAAAGGGAAAAAAATATCTGCAAGTGGTTTTATTTTACTAACTTATACTATATTCTAATTATTAGAGTCTAATATATATATATATAAAATTGCAGTTATAAAAAAATTCTAAACCGGTTTATAAAAAGCTAATACCTTCATCTGCTAATAACGCTTCGAAGTCTTTCGACCACAATTGTACTTTTTCGATGTTTGGTCTAAAAGCAAAATCAAGTAAAAAATTGCACAAATATAATCTGGAAACACGAAGACACATAAACTATAATACCAAAAATATTTGTACACGTACTAAGTTATAGAACTGACCTTAACGAGCTAATCAGTTTTTTGTAGCAAACCGCTCGCCGCTCCATTTTATTATTAGAGACTCGGCGATTTCGCCTGTTCGATACTGGCTTGCTAAATTTTAATTAAAATAATTATACATTTAAAATAATAATACATTTAAATTTCAATTAAAATAATTATACATTTACAATAATATTACATATAAATTTTAATCAAAATAATAAAAGGCGCCACCCAGTAGCGTAGGAACAAAAAATAGGCCTCCCCGCAAAATTTTAATACGGACCCTAAAATTACTTCTCTTCCCCCCCCCCCCCGCCTCCCCGTCAAAAGAAAATTATGAAAACAAAAGCCTTATTTTTAAATACAATTTTGATTTAATTTAATGGAAACAAGTATGTTACATATTGTAAAAATTTATTTTATAAAATTCAAAAACTTTGAATTAAAATATTACACAACCACCCACAGATATATGTATAATATTTATCCAGAATGTATATGTAAGTCTCTCTCTCTCTTTATATATATATATATATATATATATATATATATATATATATATATATATATATATATATATATATATATATATATATATATATATATATATATATATATATATATATATATATATATATATATATATATATATATATATATATATATATATATATATATATATATATATATATATATATATATATATATATATATATATATATATATATATATATATATATATATATATATATATATATATACATATATATATATATATATATATATATATATATATATATATATATATATATATATATATATATATATATATAAACACACACACATAAATTTTTTCAACATACCATAAGCAAGTGCAAAGACAACACCAACACAAACATAGCCGCTTGCCTTGCTGTTTTGATATAGACTTTTGTTGGGTCTCCCAAGGAACTTGATAAGTATTCGTTTCCTCTGGAGAAAGTATTACCTTCGAAAACGTAAATGTATTTGCTTCTTCACCACAAGATGCAGAGAATGAAAACGGACAACACATAATATTTTTATTTGCAAATTCTGTAAAAAAAAAAGAAAATGCTTTTTAAAAAAAAGTTTTTAAAATCATTACTAATTTTCTTTTTGGTCTTAATAGAAAACAAAAATATTTTTTATAAGAATTAAATTTTCGATGACATTCGTAAAATTCAAACATTCAAACTAAGTTAAAAAATTACTTAAAATATAAAAGAGGAAAATATATATAATTTAATATAAACAAGAAAATGTTTACTAACTCTGATTTTTTGCAGTAAAATGCGATATGACGCATCGTTACTACAATAGTTAATAAAAAATTAAAAGAAAAAAGCGACTTAAAGCCAACGAAAAACTAAAAGAAAAGAAAAACTGTTTGCTTGTATAAATTAAAAATTTAACAATTTATTTGTTCAGCTAACTTATTCATTACAATTTTTAGGAATCCATCAGTTAAAAAAATTAGGAAAAAAAAATTCGAATAACTTTTTTCACATATTTAACAGTAATAACTCGCCATTAATAACATAAATTCATCAAAAGCTTCTAACTTAAAGCAATGACCCATAAAGAAAAACGATTTGAGTAGAATTTTTAAAAAATGCGCACGAAAATGTTTGCACGTGCGCAAAATACTTCATTCCAACAGTTTTATTTTTTAACGTAGAATGTTGCAAAATATTGTTTGTAAAAATTATCAATGTTTTCTTTCAAGACTTTCCTTTTTTACGACTCCATAATCAGTGGTTATTATCGTTACTTCTTTTAAATTATTATATTGCAGTTTTTATTTTTTTTGCCACAACAATAAACTTTTGAAATAACGCTGTTTTAAAGTACTTTGCAGCTGATTCCGTTTTATTGATATTCAATTAGAGTTCGGTTGCTTCGAATTCTTTTAGGATTTTAAAAAATTTAAAAATAACACTAACCAATTAAATTTTTCCAAGCTTTTGTCCCGCTTTTAATTTTTATAGCAACTATTAAAATTCAAATCAGAATTGTCTTTAAAAACTATAATAGTTGTTTTGCGAGAAATTTTTTTTACCTTTTTAATCTTTACCGATTTACTAGAAAAGTTGAATTGCATCAATCTGTCACTAATAAAAGATAGGTTCTTAGATAAGTTTCCATTCAATAATAAATCAATTTAGTGCAATAATAGAAAAAATTTAAAGAAAGTAACAAATACGTATAGTAACGAGTAAAAGTTTGTTGTTAATACCATCTTATGCTCAAAGAATAAGTCATATGCAAAGACAAAATAAAGAATAAGTCATATGAATTGCACAAAATAAGAATCGCTTAATATGACCAAACCGTAAATGTGACGTATTTATAAGATCAAACCACAAATCTTTCAAAAATTCATGATCAAATCTTAAATCTAAGTAAGGTATAACGGCAAGTTTTTAATAAACAACAAAAACGTTTAATTCCTTATACAGAAATCTCCAACAAGTCAAGAACGGTTCCCAAAAACATTTGTTGAAAGTAGATTTTATCGATATTTGAGAACCATAAAAATATTTTTTTACCAATAGAATTACCAAAAAACAAAGCTTAAAAATTGAAATATTTAATGTAGGATTAATAGTTTCTTTAAATAATTGATGCTTTTTGCGTAAATAATTATATAAATAAAAAAGATACTGGAGAAATTTAATAGCATTTGGTCAGTCGAAAACAAGAGGCGGTAAGTCCATTTTTTGTGTTTCCGAGAAAACAAAGTTTTAAAATTTAATTTGTGAGACACTGCCAGAATGTCATAATTTTTTAAATTTTTAAAAAGTTGAATCATTCTTATATAAATAAAAAAGATACTGGAGAAATTTAATAGCATTTGGTCAGTCGAAAACAAGAGGCGGTAAGTCCATTTTTTGTGTTTCCGAGAAAACAAAGTTTTAAAATTTAATTTGTGAGACACTGCCAGAATGTCATAATTTTTTAAATTTTTAAAAAGTTGAATCATTCTTGCGACTAAATTTATTGGACATATACTCAATTGATTGTTGAATATTTTTTGATTATAAATAGAATAAATACAAAATATGGACATATGGCCTTGGTTATCGGCTGACGACTTATCAACTATATATCTCATTAAAGTTTTCAATCTTTCAGTATTAGTTAGCAGTCTCCTAGTGCTAGACAACGGTTTCCCAGTGTAAGATCAATAAAAAACAGTAGAATTATTTAATAGCAAATAAAAGTAAAAAAAAAAAGAAAAAGCAACAGCTATTTACATAATATAGTATAAAGAATTTTACATTTGTTACTGCTTATATAAAAAAGTTTATAATTCGTTATTTTTAGTGTCCATAACTTATTTATTAATTAGTTTGCTTATGTAACCTCAAGCTGCAATATACTGAAAGTTACCGCAGTTACAGGTAAGTTACTTATACGACAGCTAGCAAAATCGACGAGAGAACTCAGGGTAGACATATTTAATTTTCAGAAATTTTTCCGAATTATTCGCAACTTAAATGATACTGATTAATTAGAACACATTTTTTTTTTCTGTTACGAATACAATGATAATTGAATAATAATTTTGTGTTCTAAGCAATCAATTCAACAAATTTGATATTTTAATCTTTTAATTTAACGAAAATAACAAATTTAACAAACTTTTACTTATAATTTTCAAAATTCAAGAGAATATAACAAATTTCTTGAATTCTCTCAACATTACAAAAGGGAGATAGAACCATATTATTCTAACATCACGATTTGATAAAAAATTATTGAATTGTACGAATTCAGATAGATTTAAATTGTTCGATTATTATACCTTATTATTTTTTTAGGAGACGCCTTAAAGTAAAATATTGTAATCAAAAACATTATATGAGAGTTTCTGTAGCTTTGCTACCCGAATACTATACTACCAAATCCTAATAACAACAGTATTTGCAAGGTTTGCTGTTTATAAAGGAAACGTTTAGTCCCGTAAGCAAACTAATATGCGATCTGTAAGTTCATTCCGAAAATCTATAATTTTCTATAGTAATAAAACGGATTGTTAAAAAATATTAACTAAACACGCGCGAATCCAATTCTATCTTTGTTAATTTCGTTCATTGAGCAAAACTCACAAATAAAAATCAAAATTTGATAAAAAACAAACAAAAAGCAAAACAAAACCTTACAAGAAAAATGTTTTTATGATGCCACTTTCGGAAAAATGTGTATGTCGCTAACACATTTATTAGTTCTGACTTTAATTTAATTTTAATAAATTTTAATTTTAATAATAAAGTGAAGAATATTGAAGCTATATGTAAATAAATATATGTAAAACAAAAGATATATATATATATATATATATATATATATATATATATATATATATATATATATATATATATATATAGTTGCTTACTACTTGCTAACTTGCTCTCGTATTTTCGCTTATGGAAAAGATTTTAATTTTCGATTTTAAAAATCGAAAAACGTTATAAAACTTCTTTTCGTAATTATGAATCAAGTACGATAAAAATACGTATTAGTAAATACTATAATACTTAATTTTTATAACTAAATTACCTGAATATTTTGGCTTCATCTTTTTTTTTTTTTTTTGTTATCACTTAGAGAGATATTGAAGCCAGTTAAAAAATATTGAAGTTTGATTCAGACAGAATCCGTTAAATATTATACACATTTAAAACCCCCGGTGTCATCTTTAATTGAATAGACATTTAAGTCAGCTTTATCAAAAAGTTATTAAAATCAGTTACGCGCATACCTAAGACTTTTTTCATTTAATTAAGTAATCCGCCAAACGCGGCAAAAATATTTTTTTAGTTTGAACAAAAAAAGTGCTTTTAAATGTAAAAACCAAACAAAAAACAAAATAAAAAAAGATACCAACCAATAATAAAACTATAAAAATAATCGTTTAAAGCTATAATCAAAGAATATTGAAATAATAAAACTCAATTGAACATATAAAATATTTATAAGTAAGTTTGACGTGAAGTAGTTTAACAGTTCAATGTGTTTTGAATTTATCTTAGTTTCATCGTTTACAGCGCTCAGGGGGTTATAAAAAATCTCCGCGGTTGTGCAATTACTTGTTAAAAAATTTATACGTCTTTTAGTTAAGTATTTAAAGATACATTTGAAGAAAGTAACGACACGCTAGTAAAGCGATATAAATATAATTAAGCGACGCCTTGCTTCATCTTAAATCACAACTGTTCAAAGAATACTAAATATATATATAGCATCATTTATTTGACGAAATTAGACTAATTTCGCACTTTAGGTTACAAATCAAAAAAATAGTTTTAAAAATATTTTTAAAAAGAAAATTGAATTTAGTTTAATAAAACTTTAATAAATTTTTGTTTGAAAAAATTACTCACCTTTCAAATCATTCACATTTACAAAACGCAACAAAAAACCAAGCTCAGTTAAAGTTTTTTTTTTAACCGCGATTTTGAAATTTAACTAGACATGTCTGTGAATAAAAAGCGCGCTTTTTTGTTCTCCTTTGTAATCGAAAAACCGTAGTATTTATTAATTTTTAATTTTAAGTTCTTTAAGTTTTATAATGTGTTAAAAGTGGAATCAAAAAACTCTTTGATGTGGAAGTGAGGAAAAGGAAAACTTTCCCACAACTCCACAACAACTTTTATTCTCGATCTGAAACATTATTTACCTATATAACCTCTACGATGGAAAAAAATTGTTATATGAGTAAACAATGCTATTCAGTATTTTTCGCCGAAATTTCTGACTAAGAGAATTGCTTGTTTATTTTGTAATATAATAAGAATATCTTTGGCGTAAAGCAAGTAATTACCACTATAACATAATTTTTTTATTGTATTATTCAAGACCTCACACCCGAATTATTGAAGATGCGAAAAAATTTATATTAAAAAGAAAAACAGCAAAAAAAAACATAATTTTGATTTAGTTTTTTTAAAGAGTAATAGCTGACAATATGCTACTTTATGAACAAAACTTCAAAAGCTTGACTTGGTATATTTAAATGATATGTGTATATATATATATATATATATATATATATATATATATATATATATATATATATATATATATTATATATATATATATATATATATATATATATATATATATATATATATATATATATTTATATCAGAGCAGATAAATATATATATATATATCGGCGTAGAATACTCAAATTTTCAATGGGGGCGAAAAGTTTAAGCTTTGATTTTTTGAGCAATGTAAGTCTACTGTCTAGAGTTAATTATTTTTGATATAGAAATAGAAAAATAACAACTTTTGATTTTTGTTAACTAGCATCAAGAAATTAAAGTAACGCAAGTAGAGATAGAGTTTTACCTGATTTCCAAACAAATCATTCTACGGCGAGTTTCGTTTTTTTCAATAAACATTACTAACAAAAAAATCCATTTCAAGACTCCGGGTAATTACTTTATGGGTATTCATTACTCTCGAGTTCCTAATAAACGCCCCCCCCCCCCCCTCGTTTATTAATTTTTAATATTTTTTCCACTAACTCTAAGCTTATTAAGACCCCCTCGTTTATTAATTTGTACTTGTTATCAACACAAAAAATATATATCTCAAAAGTAAAAAAAAAAAAATTCAGTGAAAATCGGCCTTAAAAATTTGAAAATAATTTTCAGTCACCGATAAAAACTTAAATTTTCAGTGTAAACAGGTTTTACAAATTATCGACCTATTAAATCTCGATTTGCTAAAAATGAACTTTTAGTTTATTTCTCAACAAAGCTTTGGTTTTAATTATAGGATTTAATATGCTTAATATAAGTTTTATACTTTGCAAAAGTATAAAACTTATATCAGCATATTAAATTCTATTGAAATTATGATAAAACATCCTAACCCTACCCTAACAGCTGTTAGAATATGCGCTTTTCACCGCAAGTCAAATGCGCATTTGAGGTGTGTGTGTGTGTGTGTGTGTGTGTGTGTGTGTGTGTTTGTGTGTGTGTGTGGCATTGAACATGCCCCTCCTCCCGTTTATTAAATTTCAGAAAAAATTTCCCCCCGTTTATTAGATTTTGACTATATTTACCACCCACCCGTTTATTTCCACCACCCGTTGTATTCGGCACTCGAGAGTAGAGAAACAGCGTTTAGCCTTTTCTGGCTCATGGTCGATCGAAGAAAAGTTGTTAGCCTACGCAGACTAATAAATAGTTGTTCTGCTGTACAAGTTAACACTGGCTGGACCAGAATTATTTTAATAAAACAGACAATTTCCGAGGCAATTCTTTTCAATCCGATTCGTTCAGTAGCATTCAGTAGCGCGGGTGAAATCTAGAGCTGATTGAAAATCTTCTAATATAACTTTTTTTCTCTTAGCTTTGTAAATTAAAAGGTTCCGATGAAGCTGCAGCCTTTGATAATTAGAAAAATCGTCCTTGTAGAAGTTTTTTATTTAGTTGATACTGCATTCAGTGTTATTTGATCCAATCACAAACTCTTTAACTCTTGTTAAATGACGAGTGGTTCCAGTTGATTCAAATCTATCGGTAAGGCCAACTAAAACTGCTTCTAAACTGGTAAAGTATATCTACTTGTAAATCTTATTTGGGTCGTTTGGCTGGTAATAAGTATTATTACTAGCTAAACGACCTTGAATTTGAAGTCGACTTCAAATCATGCAGGTACTTTCCTCTTCTTGGGCAGAGTTGGTTCCTCTTAATCCATCGTTTTAGCAGGTTCAGCTGCATCGAGAAGTGTTTTGAAACGTGACTCAATGATCTCAAAATTTGTTTCAGGGTCTGAATGATGGATTCAGCCTTACTAAAGCTAAGTTGGCTTCCCTGAAGTTGAATGCTTAATTCTTCTAGGATGGTAAGATTAATTTGAAGAAATTTTAAAAAAGGAGTCAAAAACCTGAAAAGAAGATAAAAAGTCCATTGCTTCTACACAGCATTTGGTAAAGTTAGGGTTGGTGGTAAGGTCTTCCAGCCAAACCAGAAGTGGTCTGTAATTTCTGGTAAAAGATACTAGAGATGGCTTGTGCATTATCTATCTGGTTGGGCAAAAAGGTCTAATTGATATTCCATTTGGTGACAATATTTGCTTTCATTTTGGTCTTTTAGGCTTGAAAACGAGGCGTGCCTCTTTGGTGAGCCTCTGGTAAAAACGATGAACTTTTAAACAAGTAACAAGATATTTTCAATATCAAGTATGATTTTTATTTCATCTTGTACGACAAAGTTTAAATTGTGAGCTCTACAATGAATATAAAGGGCTCTGCTTTCTTGTTGAAGAACAAGTTTTTGCAAGCCAGCTATTTCAAAAGACGTGGCAGCAGCTCCATCGTAGCATTGTCCTTGAAAGTTCTCGAGACTTAAGTTGGAATAAAGAAGGACCTCTTTCATAATCAAAACAGATCCTTGCTTTTAGTTGTAACTGTCTCATAAAATCCACAAAAATCCTGATTAATTTGAAACTCATTGTCTACTGTAAGAAAGGATATTGATATCTATACAGTTTAAAAATTCATAAAAATTTTTAAAGGAAAATACAAGATTCAATGAGTTAATGGTTTGGCTAATAATACCTGCTCTTTTCTTGTGTTATCAGACGATTCATCCATCATGAACTCAAAGATATCTCTTTTTTTTATTGTGTTTGATAATTCACGTTGGATAACTAACAAAATATCCAACAAAATTTAACTTGTGATATCTGGAGATATCCACGTGTACTTCTCTGGTCGATTCTTCAATTTTTTTAAAACCCGTACATCCATAGATCTCACTTTTAAAAGCTGGAATAGATTCGAAGACTCCTTTGTCTTGCCTCTGATGGCCAAGACTTGACAGCCGAGAAAAATCAGACAAGAAAAAATATGGTCGAGAGCTTTTCTTGCGTCCTTCATACCTTGTATATGTTCAGTAGAAAGTTTATTGAAAACTGTAAAAACTGACGTGCTTGTCAAAATTATTTTGTTAACGGCTCAGTGAAAACGACTAGCTTTATGACGGCAAAACTTCTCATGAGCTTTCTTCCAATTATTAAATCCATTAATAACAAATCCTACACCAGATTTTCTTTTTCTTGATTAAGTAGGCAGTGGAAGCTTCATATCAGTAGCTTTGAAACACGAGGAATACAAGGCTTTTTCTTTAAAAGCGTCATACTTAATCCACTTGTACTCGTCTTCCCAGCTGGACATATATCAACAAATGTTTTTTTCTAACTTTTTTCCAGTTGAACCCTCTAATTGAATTAGATTTGGATGACGATGTATAGGGAATTTTGTAAAGAAAAGTCTCTTATTTTAGGTTGTTATTAAAAATCTTTTATGAATTATTAATGAAGTTGGCTTGTACCTTTTTTGTTGATTCCCATTTTTATGATCATCAAGATCTGAACTGTATATTTGTAACTTTAACTTATCATCGGAAAACGATGATACTTGTACGGCAGATGAAATGGGCACGTTAACATTACGAGAATCATTTGTCTTAGTTCCAATGATAAACTTATCTAAGCTGTAAGTTTTTCAAAAAATATTTTTTGAGTTTTTTAACTTTAATTAACTATTTCTTAATTAATGGAAATTAATTAATCGTTTTTTATAAGTAATCAACAATAATCTGTAATTTAAACAAATTATAAAGTAAATAAAAAATAATAGTAGAAATTAATTTTTAATATGCAACTGTTATAATTAAAAATAAAAATGAGAACAAATATACAAGCATAGATTAAAATGTTTACACAAGTTAAAGTAAAAAGCAGCTAATTAAAAATTTACTCAGAATAAAAGTTACTGACAACAGCTGTTAAAAAGGTGCGTTACTTTTTAAACACTGGCGTTACTTTTTTAACAGCTGTTGTTAAAAGTCAGTTATTTTTTATAGTACTTAGTATAAAAATGTAAAAGTAGTAAAACTTGGATTTAAATTTTCTTTTTAAGTTGAAAAAAGAAAAAAGAAAAAAAAATTCGAAACGTCAGCGGTGGACGTTTTTCAAATTACATAATTTGAAGTCTTCATAACTTCGTGAAGTTATCGTCAAGTAAACTCACTTTGAACCGTTACTTTGAAATTTGCATAAAATAAGCCTCATTACCGTTAAGTCAAGTCCACCAAAGTACCTTGTCTAACTCGCTTTCGTTAAAGATTTTTTAATTGATACTTTCTTTTTATTTGAATCTTAAAATTTAATTTAATTAATATAAAATCTACACAAAAACAAATAAAAGCAAAGCAAATGTCCAAAAAAAATAAGTAGCAGAAGATATCAACTTGTTTGACCGTTTTAAGAAAATTAACCTTTTCAAAAAGACTAAAAAAGCAACAGATTTGAAGTCAGAGTTAACTAAAATGAATGTGACCCTGACCCCACTAGTATAGCCTTATTCCCGTGCAGTAAATTAAACTAACTGCTACTTTAGGCCCTACTTTGTTTACAGGTCTAAAATTGTCCAATCCGGCCTTGAATTCACAGACTCATATGAAAAAGCTTATCAATATAATAACAAA